CAAATATTCCAATACCAATACACCATCTTTTTTGTCAAAAACTACTGGTACAAAATCCTAAACATTAATTTCATACATTGATATAAATGAATAATATTTTTTTTTAAATATAGGAGATAGATCATTAATCAAACCATTATATCAATCCAAGTTTCACTGGAAATACATTCCTCTATAGCAGCAGAAATATCATCTAATATCTTAGGACCAACAGAGCATGTGGTTAATGCAATTAATTCTTTTCCAAGTTGCATACGTGAAATATAAGAAATGGGATCAGTTATACCAACACTATTCATTGCTTCATAATCTGTAAATATTTTTAAGTGACATTAGTACTTGGTCAATTGCCACCAGGTGGAAGGACATTTAAAATGAACCTAAAGAGACCTATTTTCATTCCAACATACTGAAGTTAAAAAAAAAAATTTTTATTGGCATAATTCCGCCGGTTAAGTGTCTGCTAACTTTAACAGGACATTGTAAGAAAGGCCCTAAGAAAATTACATACCCAAATAGTTATTATTGGCATAGAAATTCATAACCCAATTATTTAGAGTTTTAGTATGTATGTTTGGAACATAGGTACATGCATTTCCAATTCGATCAGTTAATATCCCAGGTACTTGTTTCTCTGCTAACAGACTCTCAAATACAGCTGAAATAATTAAATCATTATAACATATATTTTTTTTCTAAAATAATTTATCTTATTGATAATTAATTAGATTTTCATTTTAACTACCACATTAGTATTAAATAACTGTAAGATGATAACAATGATTTATTTTAATAATTGAATAAGTGAAAAGTAAAAGATGATAAATAATTGTACTCACTAAAAAACTCTTTTTCATCAAGAGAACATTGATTGATTATAGCTGTACATAAGACTGGTCGAGTAATAGCTAAAAGAGCTCCTCTAACAATTCTTTTAATAGAATTAAAATAAGAATCGGTATAGTATAAGTACGGATTATTTTTATTTTTGTGTAAATTAAATGCCAAATTTTTATTGCGTTTTTCAAGCATCTGGATTGTAAATTATTTAATATTAATATTGTAATAATTATTATAAGATAAACAAAAAAATTGTGATTTTACCGAATCAATTATATCTACAGGCAAATCAAATTGCTGAGATATTTTTAATGAATTTATGTATCCATTTTGTTCTAGTTTGTCAAGTATGTCTTCAGCTATCTGATCTAAATAAGTGAATCCAATTAATTGACCATGGACAATGCAGTAATCATCAGGTTCATCCTTGGCTAATTTTTCACACAAGTTTGATGCAACATCTGGATCAACTTTCAGAGCTCTAGCAGCATCTAGTATATTTATACGACCTAGAAAATGTATACTCATTACTATGAGAACTAAATAATATGTACCTAAAATTATTTTTATCGTAGTTTTACAGACAATGCAATATAAATATTTAATTTAATTTAAAAGACCGAAGTAAAAGGATTTTTTTCAACTTGGATAACARGTGACTTTAATAAAAGTGTATTATGTACAGTAGCATATGGTTTTATTAATACTTAATTCTATCAATATTGTGTATATATTTATTAATAACCTTATATACTTTGTTATATGTTGTTATTCAATGTTAAATAACCAGGTATGTCAACAAAAACATAGGCAAGCCTATAAGGCACACATCTCACACAAATACAAATAAAAATTATTGCAACTTAGGATATTTAGATATATATTATAATACACACCTCCTTGGACATAGGCTTCATCTTTTAATTCCTTGGTCAAATGTACTGGTGTTACATATTCCTTACCATCAGTTGTGAACACTACGTCCAGTAGCTTGGCACTGATCAATTTTGCAACTATTTCCACACAATTTCTTTCCCCTAGTCTTAGAAGAAGAAAAAATGGCAAATTAAAATGAGATTATCTACCTATATTGTGTAATTAAGTGCCTGAGGAAAGAGTACACGGTAAGAAAAATTACCTCTGCGACGAAGTGGTCAACTGAATGCGTTGGAAGTCAGCAGCCAACAATTTAACTTCATTCCAATCACTCGAAGACATAGTGAATCAGTTTAGTTTTCACGTTTTTATTGAAATACTAAATATTAATAATACAATATATGATATCGATCAGTCGTGCGTCATTAAAGTTCAACGTGTACGGTTTAGTATGTTAAAATATCAGTAATCATGTTAGACATGTTTGTAATTGTGTAATTCTAGACTTCTAACTTGTAGTAATTTTAGTTTTAACTCTTACAAGTTGATTGATAATATTGCCACGATAAACCATTTAACTATCGGGSATTCGGGCATCGATAAAGAAACGTCTTTCGTGGTACAATCACAGAATAGATTAAAGGTGCCACGACATTGATAAAAATATTTTCAACCACGGTCCACGAGTCGGGTCTCGGGTTGCTACAACTACCACAAGAATCGTTTGTAACGATTTAATAATACATCGAATTTAATACTTCGACTTTCGAACGGCAAACAGTCTAAATCTAAGTTATCAGAAGATTTTTAATCTTATGTACAAACACTTTTGTTTTAAAAAAAATATATTTTGGAATGGAGGGCTCTAAATTTTAGACGTAACTAGGTAACTACGATAATCAGTAATTAATCACAATTAATATATTTACTGTGAAGCTTATAAATAACTAAAATAAATACTCTTTTACTAATACTTTGTTACACTCAGGAAGTCATGACCAGCTGATGTAAGAATCTCACAATGTCAGTTAACAATTTTAAAAGTAAAACCACAGAATATAGTCTGTGGTAAAACGCTGACAAGCGAATGTAGCCGTTTTTTAAATTTTCAAATCTTAATGCGAAAAAAATGTGAACAAGTGGGAATCGTTCTGCTGTGCAGTAGTTTTCGAGCATATTGCCATTGCAACGGTAATGTATGTTATATTTGAATTTTGTCAACATTTGAGCATTTTGAGCATTAAATTCATCCATTAAAAAATCGTATCAATTTACCTATCTAATATCTATACTTTTGAACTTCCATTATATTAATTTATTAGGAATCTTTCATTAATTTTTGAAGCTTTTTTAATTAGCGTAAAAGTTTTAACCCAGAATAATTTTTAAAAAATTTTCAAGGCTATAAATAGCTCAAAAAGATTAAATAATAAATTAAAGTATTTCGAAAATGTTACCATATTATATAATATATAGAAAATTCCACTACAAAAGTTTGGTGAAAATTTCAAGTGTACGGTTATTAGTTAATGAATTACGCCAAAACAATTAAATTATTATTTTTTTAAATTATTTTCGCTAAAAAATTACCAAGAATTTTCAAATTTGACTTTTCAAAAGTACCAACTATACAGATGTAGAATCATTTTAATTATCATCCTAGTTAATGTTAATGACACGTACAGTAAAAAAGTACATTACTATAAAATAAAATTCAATCAATACATTCATTCATTTATTCACTACGTTCAGAAAAATAAATATTTAATAATTTTCTAACTAMAAAATAGCTTGTTGTTGTTTAATGTGAAGTAATGGGGTAACTGTGTAAGACGTAAGTAGACAACATTAATTAACAATAAATAATAATTCTATATTGTTAAGAGGATATCAGCGCACTATTTGTTTTCTCTGTCTGGCTCACTCGTAACATAGACAAAACGCATATACGCAGAATCATTTTTTCTATATCTTGAAGTAATTTTAGAGTAAAACCTCCCATTACAAAAAAGATAGAAAATAATATTTTTGAGAGAATGACATATCGATTTGTCTAAATATTGTCTTGACAATAATTGTTTTGTTTATTTTGAAAGTCGAATACAAAGTCAAATATCAATAAAATATAAAATCAATATGTCATTCCCTCAAAAATATTATTCTTTATCTTTTTTGTAATGGAAGGTTTTACTCTAAAATTACTTAAAGACAAAGAAGAAATGTATTCTTCGTAAATGCGTTTTGTCTATGTTACGCATGGGTCAGAGAGAGAGAAAAGTGCAGGACGAGGTTGCCGAGTGGCCTAACGCGTCGGCTGTGGCTCAGCCGGACCGGGTTCGATCCTCGACCATYGGGCGGCATTTTTCTCCGGGCAAGTCATGGTGTCCGGAGAACAAGTGCCGCCATCCYYCACTCCGGRGCATGRCAGAAACCTACGGGTGCCCCAATAGAAATTCTGCCAAACAGGCGTCCGAACTACTCCCGGACATAGCGCCATACGAAAAAAAAAGAGAGAAAACAAATAGTGCGCTGACATTGTCTTAAGCCATAGATAATACTAATAATAGATACTTCTATTATCTATATGAGAATATCTGTGTGTTTATCTTTATCTGTTTACTGTGTTAGTGTTATTATTTTGTATTTCTATTATGATAACTGATAATCATAATATAATATTATTCTATGATATTATGATCCCAACTCAAGTAGCCACGTTGATTCTGGTCATCATAATTTGATTTTTATGGTTTATTACTTGTAATTTTCTAGTTACCTATATTGTAAATGATATTATGTCATATAAATCTTTTTTTTTTTATAGTTTAAAATTCGGGCTATCTGCAGTCTGATAAGTAGTAATTAATACTTTATTCTATGTTTATACCTACTACACATAACCACAGGTACCTAACATATTTTAATCTAGTTTTCTATCTTTGTCTGATATTCCAGGCGGATTTAAGTGAATTCATTTTTATACCAACCATCAAAAATTCCAAATAGTTTCAGTAAATTGGGTGATTATTGGTACTCTATGTCCGTGTTTGTTTAATGAATTTTAATCTTTATCATTACTTAGAACTTTGAACAATTTTACTATAACTTTTCCTTTTATCCCACAATAAGATATTACAGTTAGATGTCACCAGTTATTAGTTAACTAGGTATCTTGGATTCTTGTCTATCCTGATCTTTGTTAAAAATACTACTAGTTGCTACCATGTATAGTATACAAGAAGATTAGGACATTTTAGCATTATTTTGTTATAATGTTTAATACCTTCTAGGTTTAATGAATTGTATATTGTATAGGTTTTAAAATGTATTCTTAATTCCCAAATTTGACTAAGTTTTTAAGATAGAAACTCTGCAAGATAATAATGAACATTTAATATTTTGTCGTTTTTAACAACAAGTCAACAAGCAATTTGAAATAACATTTAATTATTGTCAATAGAAAAGTACCTAGTGGCTAGTAATGAATACTAGTTCTGATAATAATTAACATAATATGTATAATAATTTTATTTTTTATTTAATAATCTCATTTTCAAGATCAATATTTAACAAAATAATTTCTTAGCCAGTTATCATTTTTCTCAATACATTCCTTTGTGAATACCTATTGCCTATACATTGATCAACTGACTATGGATGATGTGAATTATTCTGGTAATTATAATTGGCAACTAAGTTATGCTTTAAACTAAGTAATTATTTAATGTACTATATAATTTAATGTTTATCAGGGTTTAACTAATTTAATTACATTCTCAATTTTAAATCACTGATTAGTAATTACTTATAAAAATGAATAAAGGTGGAATATGATTATTGACTGTATGGTGAAGACAACACTTAACACTAATTAATTAAGATTTTACAGCCTTTAACTTAAGTCAATAAATTATACCTTAAGCATTTAGTCCAATCTTTAGATATGTATTGGATATTAATTCTTAATACTTAATGATTTTTTAAATAATTTTACTATTTACTACTTTAAATACATAAAACAATATGTGGCTTATTCTTTATTAATTGTTTTTTTAAATATTTGTATCATTGTATCAATGGTTTTGTGTAGGTAAAGAATTCGATAACTATTATGGTGTTGTTTTTAAAAATAATAATGAAGACAAAATAAATACCTCATATAATTTATTAAATACAGAATATATAGAAAAACAACACGTAAAAGTTTGCCAAGGTAATTCAAGGTCAGTGTATTTCAATAAAATTCTATTAATTTTGTATCTTTGATTTTAGTGTTTTTAAGAAAAGTGTTTACATTACTGATACTTCAACTCTTTGCATTCAACTTTATGGGATTTTTTTGTTTATTTACACCGAAAATACGTTTTTTTATTTATAATTTGTAAGAAGAGAAACATTTAAATATAATCAAATTTCTCAATTGTTGCTTTAATAGTTGAATCCCTTAGTTGTTAATATTAAATGTTTATGTTTCAGTGAATATATGTTATCAATCACATTAATATTAAATGTGGTTGTACTAATTTTTTTACACATGAAACGCAAGCAATATCCTGCTAACCTTATAATCTTAATAATTTTTGTAAGTATGCAAGTAATACAATTTAAATKCTCAATAGGTACCTGAATTTTTAATAGTTATGATGCATAAACTACACAAACAGTAATTTCATTAATTTTAAAACCTTTAATGTAGACTGTTATAGAAGCTTGTACTGTAGGGATTGTAGTCACATCATTTGATTTATTCATACTGCTACAAACATTAATACTCACCTTAGTTTCAATGATTGGAGTAACATTATATTTGAGTAAGACTAAGAGAGTTGGCTTATCCTTGACTGAATATTGGTAAGTGTCTCAAGTTTGATAGCTAATAGTACCGTAATAGTGTTTTAATATTATGTACAGTCCATCTGGTCCTTTGTATGTGTTTATTTGATAAATAAGTTGTATATTTTTAGTGTTCTGCTGGTTTTTACTATATTTTTGTCTGGTGTATTAGTACAAATAATTCTGGGCAGTACCACATATGAACTACTGTTTTCGAGTATCAGTTCATTATTATTTTCAATGTTCCTTGTACATGATGCTCAGGTAAATAATTATAAAAAAATCATATATTTATTATAATATAAAAATGTATTATTTAATGTATTCAATTATTATTGTTCACAGAAATTAATGTGGAAATTACATCCTGAAGATTATATTTTTGGTACTATTAGTATATATTTTGATGTAATCAATTTAGTTCCTTATGTACTTCATAAAGTCTACTACTTTAGGGTATAAAATAATATAATTTTAAAATCAAAAGATGAATAGATTATAATTTTTTGTGTTGTTATATATTAATTTTTAACAAAATAATACATATTTTTGGTTTATAATGTACATAAAGAAAATAAAAATCTATAAATAAAATTATTATTTAAAACAATTATCTTATAAATGTTTACAAAGAGTACTAGAAAAAAAAAACAATTCAGTCAAYGTAGCTAATTCAAGATATTTTTTCTTACGGCTTGGTATTCTTTTTTGCATTCAAGAAAGCTTGTAGTTGACCTGTACTTTCTAAATAATTCATAACCACTTTTTCTTGAGTTTCGGGTGTTGTTGGTGAGTATCTAACATATTCCATGCTGAATTCTCCTTTACCCTGGGTTAATGATCTTAACTCTCCTGCAAATCCAAACATGCAGTTTAATGGCACCTCAGCATATATTGTTACCCAATCAGAAGTTCCTTCACTTCCACTAATGATGCCATTGCGTTTGTTAAACTGTCCCATTACAGATCCTTGGAATTCTGTGGGTACAACTGCTTCAACTTCCATGATAGGTTCTAATACTTGCCAAGCAGCTTCTTCATATGCTTGTTTAATAGCACCTTGGGTAGCTAATATGAATGCCAACTCACTGGAATCCACAATATGATGGGCTCCGTCTAATAACCTTAAACGTACTCCTGATATTCTATGTCCAGAATACAATCCTTTTTCAGCCATCATTTTGAAACCTTTTATTATTCCAGGAATGAACTGCTTAGGTACATTAGGTCCAKATGTTTCATCAACAAAATCTAAATTTGTATTTTCATTTGGTGGCAATGGTTCTAAAATACCTATAACTCTGGCGTATTGCCCCTGTCCACCGTGTTGCTTTTTATGGAAATAATCAAATTCAAAAGGAGACACCAGAGTTTCTCGGAACGCAACTTTTGGCTTACCTAATTTTACAGGACAATTGTATTCTTTTTGCATTCTTTGGCCATAAATTTCTAAATGCAATTCACCCATACCAGAAACTATGGTTTCCTTGTTATCTGCATCATATTGGAATTTGAAAGTTGGATCTTCTTTGGTAAATCGAGCTACAGCTTTACTAAAATTGTCCCTATCTTTTGYGTTGACTGGTGAAATAGCCATAGACACAACTGGATCTGGTACAAAAATAGATTCTAATGAAAGGTTGAGCTTTTTGTCAACAATAAATGTATCACCACTAGCACAATCAACACCAAAAAGTGCAAATATGTCACCAGCATATACTTCATTGACTTCTTCCATTTGATCAGCGTGTAAACGTACCAACCTTGATAAACGTACTTTTTTAGATGTTCTAAAATTGTATATGGTGTCGCCTTTGGATAATTTACCCTGGTAACATCTCATATACGTCAACTGACCAAATCTTCCAGCTTCTAATTTAAAAGCTAAGGCAATGAATGGATGAGTTCCATCCCTTCTAGAATCTAATAATACTTTTTTAGGGTTATTAGTATCATCAGTTAGTTGTAACGCCACATTTTCTACTTCTCCAGGATTCGGTAGATATGATATAACTGCATCCAACAAGGGTTGAACACCTTTGTTTTTCAATGCTGTTCCAAGAAGAACAGGTGTAAATGTTCTTTTAATACAGCACCGCCGTATTGCATCAATTAATTCTTGTTCTGTAGGAGTTTTTTCTTCAAGAAACATTTCTCCTAATTTCTCATCCACATTGGATACATGTTCAATTAATTCTTGGCGTTTTTCTTCGGCTACTTTTATCATATTTTCTGGAATATCGCCATATTCTATGTCATCCCCAAAATCACCATTAAAATAAATTGATCTCAAATGAATCAAGTCGACAATTCCTTTAACCTTGTCTTCGTGTTCAATAGGAAGCTGTAAAAATGCAGCGTTATGTCCAAGTTTACTTCTAATATTAGTCAAAACTTTGTGTGGGTTTGCACCAAGTCTATCTAATTTATTAATAAAAGCTATACAAGGGACATTATAACGCTTCATTTGTCTATTAACTGTTAATGTTTGACTCTGTACACCCCCTACTGCACATAACACTAAAACTGCACCATCTAGAACTCTCAGTGCTCTTTCTACTTCAACTGTAAAATCAACATGACCCGGTGTGTCGATTATGTTAATATTGTAATTTTTCCAAATTGTATAWGTAGCTGCAGATTGAATCGTTATGCCTCTTTGCCTTTCCAATTCCATTGAATCCATAGTTGCTCCCACATTGTCTTTACCTTTGACTTCATGCATTTTGGCTATTTTACCTGTATAATACAAAATTCTTTCCGTCAATGTAGTTTTACCAGAATCAATATGTGCTGAAATGCCAATGTTTCGGATGTATTCCAATTGTTTGATATCATTGTTTTTTGAAACATTGCACATGCATCGTATCCACACATTGGCCTTTTTCAAAATGGCTTGTCTACCAAAATTAAGTCCAAAATACATTTTTTTTTTTAGTATACAACCTGTAAACAATAATATCAAATAGGTGTAATACATTAATCATATATTATTAACATAATTAAAAATATTACTTACTTATCTGTTCTTTTCGCCTAGACTATCGAAGCCAGGAGGTTTTGAAATTATAAATATTTAGACAAGTTTCTTCAATTAATAAATAATAATAATGCAATATTGGGAAATTTTAAATGGTTCTATTATCACTGATCTTCCGGCTTTCTGTTATTATCACGATGTAGATTTTCGAAGACCGTGATTGTGGTTATCACCATAGACCTTATGATTGGACCGCTTTCGTAATACCAATATACCATAGAATATTCTATGGTAATACTTCTGTGAATTTAATCTATACCTAAGGGTGCGTTCAGAAACGTTTTCCAGTGTCATCRGGTAATTYCCATCGTCGTTCAGAAAGTATTTARGGCGTGTCGGTGAATTCACTGACACGCCCCTTTTGCGTTCAAAAACGTAGATAACTATCTAGATAAGTCATCGCCTTTAACGCACTCTGTGAACCGTCACAAAAAAAATAGTTAGAATGGTTACTGGTTAATACCTACATGCCAAAATGCTATACGCGCCAAAATAGTCACAATAATAAAATAAAAAATAACCATAAAATTAAAAATATTAATTTATTGTATAATAATAAATAATATAATAATTATCTAACAAGACAATGACAGTTGTTATTAAGTGTCAATTAGTGCTTGGTGTCGCGTTTATTTATTGTGTTAAATTTAAGAATTTAAACATTTTACACTAGGTACCTTCTAATTGAAATAATGTTTCCTCAAGTCACAGTCGTAAGTGTATAAAGAAATGTTACTAATTTTAACATACTTAAGTAGTAAGAAACTAGTAAGTACTTTTAATCTTTTTTTTTTCCGATTACCATTCTATGTACCTACGAAAAAGATATTTTCCAAGTCATTTGATAAAGGTACCTATACTGATTTTTTTCAAAATTCATATAGGTATTTGTTAAATAGGAGTAAGTTATACGACTTGCTGTAAGCCTGTTGTATGTTAAATTGGCGAGATAATATGAGAATGGAGATGAAGTAGTTAAGAGAGACTTGACATTTAACACTAACATAATATGTGAAGCGCTTACGGGTTATCATTTGATATAATATTCATATTTTTTGATGAAATAAAAATTTTTCTATCCAAATGTTACTACAGAACTTTACTGCAATCAAGGTCGTAGCCAGGGGGGTGGTTAGGGTTCACCCCCCCCCCTCCCGAATTTTTTTTTTAATAATATTAAATAGTTTGAATAGTTTTTTTAAATGCCTATTGTATTTGAAACTTTACATCATATACGTGTCGTTGTTATTAAAACATAAATAAAAAAAACGGTATATTTTATATTTATATTGTGTTAGATAAGCGATAACTAATCTTAATGTACTTTCTAATTACTATACTTTAAATAAATACTAATACTTCTTAATTACTAAACCTAATGTATAGCTCACATAATGCCTACAGTATCTTATCTTAATTATTTTGGTAATCGATGATCAGTAGAGCCGYATAACAAATTTTGTTTGTGCCATTGTCAGTAAYCACGGAGTACATTAAATTTTACACACGACGTTTATTTTTTCGGTATATATCTGTTTTGTTGCATTAAAAGTTCGTGAATTTTTCATTTAAATACCAACGCACGTGAAAGTTAATTATTTTTAAAAATGAATAAATCTTCACAATCCAATTTATCATCTTGGATTTCTACCGAGCCAAAATCAAAAAAACGTAAAATTAACAGCTTAGAAACTATAAGTTCTAACAACCATGAGGAAGTTGAAGGTCAGTACAATAAGTTAGAAGCGGTTAAATCTTTTAGTATGCTTGGCATTGGAAAATTTGTAAGTGCTAGTATTAGTGAGTTGAGAATCAAAGAACAATTATTAAACAACCCTTAKTGTCCTCCAAATGATTATAAGTTTCCTGTGAGTGGAAAACGAAATTTTCGATTTCAACGTCATTGGATGGATCAGTATTCATGGTTAACCTACTCAGATCTATTAAATGGCGTTTTGTGCAAATACTGTGTAGTTTTTGCTAGAGAATGTGCAGGAAAAGGAAATCATGTTAAATTAGGG